GGGCTGGGGAGTCCTGCTTCCTACCGCATCTCTCCAGCTGTGGATCCCTGCTGGGGTCTGCAGCGACAGCTGGCAGAGAAGTAGCCGCTGTGGCAGGCAGGGGGAAAGGACACGAAGGCTGCGTGGCGCCCAGGCCCCCGATGGCATAGGTCTCACCCCGCAGCGCACTGTTGATGCGCCGGAACGCTGCTGCCTTCTCCGAGTCTAGGTCTTCGGCGGTGACCCGGAAACCCGGCTCAGGGGTTGGGGGCAGCCTCAGAGGCTCCCCTCGCCTGTGCGGCAGCAGAGGAAACCTGCGTTTTCGGGGCCTCGGACTGTCAGATGTGCGGGAGTCGTTCCTCCAGGGCCGTTTCTGCCCTCTTCCTGCCTCTGCATCTTTGTCAGGCGGGCTTTTCCTCTGGGAAACCAGCGGAGCTGCAGAGGGCGACGGAAGGCCCTCCTCGCTCCCTTTCTTTGTGTACTTCTGGGGCAGCCCTTGCGGTATGGCGGGACCCCTCCTTCTCTTCACTGGCGGGAAACCTCGGGTGGAGCTATGTGAGTTCGTGATGGCGTTTCTTTTGCGGCAGGAGCTCATACAAGAGGTCTGGAGTTTCCTATTGGATGCAGCAGAGGAATCCTGCGTTTTTGGGGCCTGGGACTGTCAGATGTGCGGGAGTCGTTCCCCCAGGGCCGTTTCTGCCCTCTTCCTGCCTCTGCATCTTTGTCAGGCGGGCTTTTCCTCTGGGAAACCAGCGGAGCTGCAGAGGGCGACGGAAGGCCCTCCTCGCTCCCTTTCTTTGTGTACTTCTGGGGCGGCCCTTGCGGTATGGCGGGACCCCTCCTTTTCTTCACTGGCGGGAAACCTCGGGTGGAGCTATATGAGCTCGTGCTGGCGTTTCTTTGGGGGCTGGAGCTCATACAAGAGGTCTGGAGTTTTATGTTGGATCTGTCCTCCGCCCTCTTGGCATGGAGGTCTCTCTGCAGAGGTCCAGGCCTGGGCACGAAGAAAGAGCCCCCCAGGGGCCTAAATGCAGATCGTGTGCCCCCGGTGTCATCGGGGCCGCTTCTCTGGTCGTCGTTCCTCCCTGTGACTGTGGGGACTTCCTCCTGCTTGGCCATCCCTTGCCCGCTCTCTCCCAGGGCCCTCCACACCGTCTGCTCTGTGCTGTCGTGCGGCACAGAGGAGGACTGTGGAGGCACTGTTGGAGGCACGGGCTGCCCCCACGTCACACTGATAGTGTCTGTGTCCACTGCGGACAATGAGCTGCGGGACGTCGTGGAGGTGCGAGCACCCATCACCGCCCTCCTCCGATGGCCTCGACTGAAGATGGAGATAAGGATCCCCATAAAGGAGCGCAGGGTCTGCGGGATGGTAGAATGGGGTCTCAGAGACTCTGTGGCAAAGCACAGATGCAGAGTCACGGGACACTTTGGGGCTGGCCTGCGAGTGGATAGCCGGCCAGAGACAGTTGGGTGGGCGCGGGGAGAGGGCTGGGGGAAGCCGAGCCCTCCCGGCAGGTGCTGGTCCCCCAGTGCCCGGGGCGGGGGTGAGGGGCAGGGCCTACCTAAGTAACTGCCCCTAGAGAACTTGCGTGAGGTCGGTCCTTGGACAGACAGCTGGGCTCCGAGCACTCTCCTTCAGCTGCCAACTCGGCCAAAAGCGGAGTGCGCTCTCTGTGGCCCGTTGCCTTTTTATACTCTGTCACCTGTGAGCGAACAATGGGCGTGTGTTCGCTGGGCGCAAACGTTTAGGGAGAGGTGGCGCATGCGCAGAGTACACTTCAGGCCCTGGGGCGCACAGGTGAGGAGGCGCGCCCCTGGACCGTCTAGCGCTTCTGAATCTCCCGGGGGTCAGAGGACTGGAGGTGTTTGCCTTGGGGGTGATGAGCTTCTTGGCAGGACAGCTGGCCCTGCTCCCTTGGCCGCACCCCAGTGCTGTCGGGGTAACTAACTGTACTGGACGGGATCCCTGCCCAGCAAAGCGGAGCAAGGTTGCTGGCTGTGCAGCTCCCACAAGAGGAGGCAGCTTTGGCAGCAGCGCCTCTGCGTCCTCCTGCCTTTTCCCCTGGCGGCACTGGAGGGGAGAGCCGCTAAGAATGGAAGTGCCCACACCATCCAGACCCTGCTGGGGTGACACCTGAAGTGGTGGCCAGGGCTGGCTGAGAGGGCCATACTTACCATATGACCCAAAAACCCACTTCTAGGCAATTAACCAAGAGAAAAACTTTCCACAAAACACGTATGTGAATGTTTTAGCTATCTTGTCCACAATTCCTAAATATAGGACTATTGAGGTTAGCCAATTTTCTTGAGTTTGTCATTTTTTAACTGTTCTTGGAATAACATTATGTATACGTATTGTTTCACAGTCTAGAGTTAATATTTTACCAATTAAATAAAATTCAGAAGGCTTACATCCATGTAGATTCTTTTACCTTCCACTCTCTGTTACAGCTGTCATATGTGTCACCTTTATATGACTTCAATGCCACCCTCTGAGACTGTGGTATCCTTTTTTCATACATATACAGGGAATTCCCTGGCGGTCCAGTGGTTAGGACTCAGCCCTTTCACTGCTGGGGCCCCGGGTTCAGTCCCTGGTAGGGGAACTAAGATCCCACAGGCCAAAACAAACAAACAAACAAAGTCATACATATATAAAATAATGTAAGAGGATAATTTTTCCAGATACTTGCCATTTTTGTTGCCCTTCCTTTGTTCCTGA